CACAGCCAGCAAGCAAGCGGGGCTGTGAGGGTCAGGCGAGGCAGGGCCTCTGTCCTCACCCACGGCCTGAACGGGCCTCCGTGATGCCAGCAGACAACAGACAACGGCAAGCCTGGTGCCGTCTGGACAAGTGGAGTCACCCGGCCAGAGGGGACCGTGGGCCCCAGCGTCCCGGCCGTCCCTGTGCTTCAGGCCCGAGCGCGCCCGGCCCTGCTGCACTCACCCCGGTCACGCTGTAGCCTCGGAACAGCCACGACCGGTCCTCGTTGGTGGCGCAGCACAGGGCGGCGACCCCGTGGCCAACCGCGCAGATGGGCTCTGAAAGCAGCGGCGGGCGGGGCTCAGGTCCTGGAGGCCGGGGTCTGGCCCTCTCCCAACACCCCCACCCACCATGGCCGACCTCCTGGAGGCCGCTGCCCCGCCCCTGGAAACACGGGGAGCTGCTGCTTCCGGTTCAAACCTCAAGTTCCGGTGGCTGAGAAACAAGCACAAGGAGGCGTCGCGAGGGCGAGCGGGTCCATTTGCCAGCCCAGCAGCACTCGCACTCACCGCCCCCCTGGCCCTCTCAGGGCAAACGGCCTGTACCCTCCAGGCCCCACTCGCCCTCTTGAGGGCACCACCGTCACCGCTGTCACCGCTGCCTGAGCGGCGCCCACCTGGAGACGCCCCTCCTGACTGCAGTGGGAAGGCGCCCGCCCTCCTTCCATCTCTCAGGGCTCCAGGCAGTGCCCCCACCCTGCCAGCGCCCGCCCTGGCTCCGGGCCTGCCACCCAGAGGCTGCCTGGCACAAGTGCATTCCCACGGCTGCGGTGGCCGGGAACAATCGCTGCCTGTCCCGGTGGCTGGTGCTGGGGACAGGAGGCCCGTTCTCACCGACAAAGGACACTGTGTGGAGCCTGGGTTTTGTCGGCTGGTCCCTAATGAGCAGACATGCGCCTCTGAGCCCAAGGCAGACCAGGGCAGCCAGCCAGGTCTCCAGAGCAGCCTTTCTCCCAGCCCTGCTGGCCTCGGCCCCAGCCTGGACCCGGGGCTTTCCCACCAGGAACAAAGCCCGCATCCTGCCCTCCCCCCAGGGAGGGGCCCAGGGCGCACAGCCCCCAGCCCGAGGGGGCCAGGCAGAGGGCCCACAGGGGTGCTGGCCCAAGGGTAGGTTTGGGAGTGCCCACCCTCGTGTGTGGGACAGCTGAGTAAACTTGACCCTCACTGGCCAGATCCCGGGGCTCTACATTGAAGTGATCTGACATTTCCAGCCCCAAGACCTGAACCCTGAAATCCACGGCTGCCGCGCCCACCCCCAGCACAGGCACCTTCCTGCCTCCCCTCCGTTTGTGGAGCCCCCCCACCCCCCACACACACCCCCAGGCCAGGGGTCACCTACTGCTCTCCGAGTGGAAGTGCTGCAGGATTCGGGCCAAAGACCCACTGCTGGCCAGGTCGGCCAGGGCCCCGGGGCAGCTGGGAATCAGGAGGGCATGGTACCGGGCACCTGGGGAGACCACAGGCCAGTCAGTCCTCTTGCTCCTGCCGCCAGACACCATCCTTTGTCCCTGTCCCTACCCCGGCCAAGGCTCCCACAGCCCATGGACCATTCCTGCCTCCCCATCTCCACGTGCCGCCACCTCTCCCCGCAGAGGCAGCTGGGAACTCTGGGCCCAAGACGCAGGAGGGGAGCGGCCATAGACAGTCACAGCTCCTGGCAGCAAGTCCTGGGAGCTCCAGGAGTAGAGTGAGGGAGCGCTGTGGGGCCACAAACCCACCCGGAACCCCACACGCCCGACCCTCCAAGGTCTCGGCCCTCACCGTCGATGGACTCGAGCTTGGCAGGGCTGGCATAGGCCTTGAGGCGGAAGTCCTGCACCCAGCGTGCGTTGCTCTCACTCACGTCCACAAAGTCCATGGTCTTCCCCTGCGGAGCCCCAAGGCCCAAGGTCAGCGAGGACACCCTGCTGGCTCACAGGGGTGCTCAGAACAAGGAAGGGAGCCCAGGACCAATGGCAGCCCCTCAGGGACAAAGGCACCCAACAGCCCAGGCCTCTCACCAGAGCTCCACACACCCAAGCTCCATGTCAGCCCCACCCGCCCACACTGGTCCTCAGTCGCCGATAAAGTGGCAGCCGATGTCCCACCCACCTCAGGGTGACCCTGGAACCCTCAGCACATCACTGCTGTGACCGGGCCCCGCGCACCAGAGGGCCGCACTCCCTCCTGCTGGAAGGTGTGCGCCCTCCTTTCTCTGTGCGGACACTGACCCATAATGCCAGTGGGTCTTGGCCCCTCTGCCCACGCCAGATCCCGCGAGTCACAGCAGCCTCGGCTCACCCCTTTCCCAGCGACAGCACTCTCTCCCCCCACCCCCCACCCCCAGAAAGAAAGGGGGCTGGACTTACCCCAGGGGTGGCCACCTGCAGGTTGAAGGCAGCGCTGGCCAACGTGAAGCAGTGGAGGAAGGACTGGGCTGACACTCCTGTGAGGACACGCGGGTGGGTGCTGGGCCCGGCAGCCCCTCCTGCCCGAGGCGGCTGCCCGGCCACCCCCGGGCTTCTCCTGCCCCAGGACCACCCGAGGAGCAGCCCCCCCCCACCTCATCCCAGGGCCCCACCAGGCCCACGTCTACCTCCCCCCGGCTCACTCCCCCACCCCCCCACCCCTACCCCCACCCCCGGCTCTCTCCCCAGTCTGGCCCTAGAGGCCTTTCAAGAAGGCACACCAAAGTGTGAGGTTCCCTTACGCTCGGCTCACCCGCTCATTAAACCAGCAGGGCCTGGTTTATCCCCTCAGTTAGGCCGGGGAGGGAGCGATGGAGCCCCCACTCCACCAGGCTGAGCCAGGGAGGGCGGCAGAGGGCAAGGCTCCTGCCCACGGAGGTGGGGCTGTGGCTCCTGTCACAGGAAGGTGGGTGTATTCCCACCCCTCCTCCTGGGCCAGGGCAGTCTCAGCCCTGTCCTCACAGGAGCCCCTGAACGCCCATGGGCTCCCGCCCCCTTCTGCCCGCGCCGTCTGGAAGCTTCTGGAAGCTCCTGGCTGCGAGGGGCTGCAGCCCCACCAGGGACGTCACCTCTAAATGGGCTTGACCGCATCCTTCCACCTGTGTTTCAATCCTGGGACCCAACCCCTAAACCTCACGTTCATCTTTATTCACGCTTACGAGTTAGTACATGTTCACTGTAGGAAGTCCATACATTGAGCAAAAACAGTCTTTCCAAATCACCCCCCTTCCCAGTTCCTCAAACCCTTGCTCTCCCACCCCCACCTCCTTCTCCCCAGGACCCCAAGGGGACTAGGCGGGGCCCACTGGTCCTGCCCAGAGCCTAGTGGTCCTTTCAGGGCTGTGCCCGCCCCATGTTCTCAACATCCCCCCCTCCTGGCACAGCCAAGCTGGTGCGACCCTGAACCCTTTCAATGGCTCCTCGGACCCTTGAGCTCCCCATCGGGGTGGGGGTAGGACCCTGGCTCCCGCCCGCATTCTAGGCACAGGCCACTCAGGGCCCCCGGGGCTCAGCACACGGTGACCCCGTGACCCGGTCCTCCTCCTTGGCCCACTGAGCAGCTACACAAGCTGAGCAGACCAGGCTCCAGAGACCCCGGCCCCAACCCTGGTCCTCCAGCTGCTCCCGGTGGCCGTGGGCTCGCCACTTCCCTCCGTGACGGGACACAGGCGAGGACCCGGGAAGAGCTCAGAGCGGCACCAGGTGCCCGAATCTGCCCATCCCTTACTGCCGGCCCCCGGCACCCAGGCCCTGCGGGTGAGCGCGGGGCAGCACGGGACCCACGAGCCCCAGGCCTCTCCGGGTCCCTGACACCTGACGGGGGCCGGGGGTGCCCGGTCCTGGCGCATCTACCTCACCGCCCACTGGACAGTCCCTCTCCGATCGCACCCTACTGAGGCGAGAGCACTGAACAGCAGAGGCTCGTGAGCCACCGAGTCAGGCAGGCCCAC